TAAAAAAGTGACGAATGTGCCCCAGTCTCCCCTACCACGTATTTCCAGAATGTTAGATATTGAAAATGTGATATAACTTTTAGTATGTGTAATTTGCCATTTCCAGAATGGACCACAAAGCCATTGTGGTACTCCGAGTTATTGTGGGTGAAACAATGCCTTTTGTATAAGTTCACGTTTTAAACCATTTTTATAGACAACTAGCTGGACCCACGGCACTTCGCTTTCCCTTACAAAGTTATCAACGTTAAATTTCCATATACATACATAAGAATTTCATGTATTTCAAACCATATCCTCATTGTTCAACCAGTAAGGAAAATAGTAAAGTCGGACGGGGCCGACTATATGATACCCTTCACCACTATGGGTATATTAAACGAATGCATCCTAACAAAAGGGCAATTAACATGAAATTGGACGAACTAAAATATATGACCGACTAAATGTGAACCGACTTAGATCAATCCATAAAAATGTCATTCGTTTGTTACAATGGGACAAAATTATGTAAATCTATTTAAAGCAAATATCAAAATTCTCAATTGTGTACGTTGTACAAAATTTCATGTCAATATTACAAACATGAGGAGTTAGGTGCACCATTTACTTAAAATCGGATGAAAATAGATATGGAAGCTATATCCAAACATGAACCGATTTCAACGAAACTTGTCACAGGTTAGGTTGTACTCATTTCAGCAGGCTTTGTTCCTAATGGTCATATTTTGGGTCCTAGTTAAAATCGGATCATATATATCAGAGCTATATCTAAATCTGAACAGATTTTCAACAAATTTTACACACATCATTATACCCTACACAACTATGTTGTCAGGGTATTATAGCTTTGTGCAGCCCCAAAAATTTTTAACGCCGCGAAATGTTGGTCCAAGACCCACCTTTAAGTATAACGATCTTCATATCTCGACTAGCTGAGTCGATCTAGACATGTGTGTCCGTCCGTCTGTCCGTCTGTCCATTATAATTTGTAAACACGATACAGGCCACGGTTATGGACCAATCTTCACGAAATTTTGCATGTAGGATGGGTTCTGGCCAATGAAGACTCCTATTGTTTTTGTATATGGGAAATTACAAAATTCTTTTAAAATTCCATTAAAAAAAAATTTGAAAAATTTTTTTGCGAGCACATTTATGATTTTTGGTACATAGGTTAAGAAAAATATGCTGATTCGAAATATGTTCGCGTTCACAAATTCGGATGCTGCGCACAAAAGTTATAGCGGTTTTAAATCTTGTATTTCAAATATAAATTAAATGAATTCCTATTCGTTGAAATTCGCGAATTTCTTCACAAATGCTTAAACACCATTGTTTTCTTTGCATACTAGTCAAATCACACTGAAATACGGTTTAATAGTCGCGAAAAACAAATAGAAACATGAAGATATCGGAAAATAAAATAAATTAATTTTTGAATTAAAACAAATGTTTTTTGGAATTTTCGATTTTTTAGTATGTTTAAGAGGATACGGTTTTGCCTTAATCTTCTAAAATATACGACGCTTTCTTTTGCAAATTCTTTTAGATGATTGTTAAATATCGGCAGATTCATCTGATAAGAGTTTCGACGTCATTAATGGCTAAATATATTGCACTTACAATACATAAAAATTATCAATATTGAAAAGCTTGCAATTCGCGAATTAGTTGAAATCAGTTGATGCGCATGCGATTTTCGTATAAACCGAATCAATGTCTTTCAATAATTATTAATTTTTCGATGTTTAATTTAGCGGTCAAAATGTGCCACTCGATGCACTTTACTATGCAAAAACCCTAAAAATGGCTAAAAATCACGCAACGTGCATACGATTTTTATGCGCATCCGATTTTAGTAATCTCCTATGAAAATACGCAAAAGGACACCTATTTTAAAAGGATCGGTTAAGAACCGCGGATGTGCCTCCACAATCAATTTTGGATAAAATATGCATATTATTCGCGTATCGATGTATTTTTGACCTATTTCCACACAGATTCGCGAATTTGACAATACAAGCATAAATGCATGTAAAATTAATTCGAAGAAAATCGCGATTATTTACGCGAATTTGTCAAAATAAGTTTTTGCAGTTTTTCCCACATTCAAGGTACCTATATCCGCCGTTTTATTAGACGGAATTCAACATGGATGGGCTCATTAGATCCGGCACGTAAAAAAACTAAAATCACGCGGGGTTCCACGGAATTTGAATGGACTTTCTTAATTTTAGACTCAAAAAATATGTTTTTTATAAAAATTTACGCACCAAATTTTCGTCTTTGGAACCCAATTGCAAAGAAGCTACAGTGAGCACATTCATGAGATATAGACTAAACGAAGCAGAATCACGAGTTCTACGATCCTATAATTAGTTTAGTCCATTATCTGGATGCGCATCCTAATTATAAGAAAAATTCAAAAAACACCGAAAATCCGGCTTCAAAATGTCAGCATCCATTTTGGGTGGATGCAGTGATTATATCGAAAAATCATACATTAGAACCATATTGTCCATGGGGTATTCTGCAACTTAGTCACTGATCACATGTGCGTGCATTGTGTAGTTTAGCCACAAATCGGGAACGAACACAAAAAAACTCGTTGGCTTCAACACATTTTTACCCATTTTTTTACATTACCAGCATCACAGCTTCCACGCAACTTATTATTTATTACCAAAATTTCAAGATTTTGACAAGAACACTTCATTTTATAGAATGGAATTTAAATTATATGCAATATGTTCATATTTCGCGAGTTATAACCTTGCAAACCTCAGCTTCAAGGAATTTAAAAGATTTTTGTAATTTCCCATATATATTGTCGTATGTACTCGTATGCGGGACTTACACATAAATATTTACAGGTGCTTACGTATTCATATATTATTTAGTAACCCATTACCACACTAGAGGGTGGAAATATAACGCTGATCGCTTTGAAATCTTCCATGAGATTCCAGTTGTGGTCAAGGACAACGCTTATAAATTTCTGTTATGATCAGATAATAATTTTGGCTGTACTGAATATTAGTAATAATCGGAATATATGTTAGTGTAAGGAAGAGGTGCTTTTGACCTCTAATCGGGCAAGAGGGTGGAAATATCACGAAATATTCCTCAGGCTCGGAATAAACATCCGCAGAAAGTTATCGTGTGGTCGGCCCCGTCCGACTATACTGCTCCGCTCACTGGTTCTAGACTTAATTCAGTACGCTATGGCAAATTTCATGGAAATCGAAGGATATATAGGGACTTTGGTGAACCATTTACATTACCCCGGTCGAAAATACATATGGGATCTATATCCAAATCTGAACCGATTTTCAGGAAACTTGACACACATCATTCTAGACTCAATTCAGTACGCTATGCCAAGTTTCGTGCAAATCGGAAGATATATAGGGTCTTTGCTACACCATGTACATTAAATCGGACGAAAATATATATGGAAGCTATATCTAAATCTGAACCGATTTTCACCGATTAAAATCGGGCGATCTATTTATGGGAGCTATATCTAAATCTGAACTGATTTTCACGAAACTTAGCACACGTCATTCTAGACTTAATTCAGTACGCTGTATAAAATTTCGTGCAAATCGAAAGATATATAGGGTCTTTGCTACACCATGTACTTTAAATCGGACGAAAATATATATGAGAGCTATATCTAAATCTGAACCGATTTTCACGAAACTTAGCACACATCATTCTGGACCTTATTCAGTACTCTATGCCAAATTTCGTGCAAATCGCTGTGCCAAAATATATATGTGAGCTATATCTAAATCTGATCCGATTTTCACGAAACTTAGCACACATCGTTCTGGACCTAATTCTGTACGCTGTGCCAAATTTCGTGCAAATCGAAAGATATTTAGGGACTTTGGTCCCCCGTTTACCTTAAATCGGACGAAAATATATAAGGGAGCTATATCTAAATCTGATCCGATTTTCACGAAACTTAGCACACATCATTCTGGACCTAATTCAGTACGCTATGCCAAATTTCGTGCAAATCGAAAGAGATATAGGTACTTTGGTGCCTATATCGGGCGAAAATATATATGGGAGCTATATCTAAATCTGAAGCGATTTTCACCAATTTCAATAGGGTTCGTCCTTGGGCCAAATTTCATTCAAATCGGATCATAAATGCGACCTGTACTTTGTTTACAATTTAACATCTACAGACGGACGGATGGACGGACATGGATAAATCGACTCAGAAAGTGATTCTATGCATATTCTCAAAAGGAACCATGTGTCTATCTCGTTTCTTTTTGCCTGTTACAAACATATGCACAAAGACATAATACCCTGTACTACAGTGTGGTGAAGGATATAAAAACTATATTTGGGGATTTATTTCATTTTCCGAATTAGGGACTTGTTACATTAGGAAACAAGTCCCCGCTTTTAGGGACTTATTTCATTTTATATTGCTTTATGGGGATTTATTTCATAATGAAATAAAATTTCTGTTCGGGGACTTATTTCATACCGCCCTTCATAGTTTATGTTGAAATTTGCCCTTGTGTCCATATGCAACTACTGCTCCTAAATTAATCGTTTCGGATTAACCGTAGAACAAAGATATAGATACTCATATCTTTATCCATTCAAATATAACAGACTTTTGCCAGGAAAACACGATTCTGACCACTGTGGACCCGTAGCAACACCAAAGAGATAGCCGAAATTAATACCGCAGTAAAGCAGTGAGACGATTGCAGAAAATCTATTGAAAAAATTAAACAATGTTAGAGCCTCCGGTTTTTAAAAGCCACAAAAGAGCGGCCACTCACGCGAATCAAATATACATGACTTTAGACATCATTGCTAATAATGGCAAAACTCTGCGAATTCTGTAAATATTTTGAACTTTTAATATTCTTTACATGAATAGGATATCTCAAGCATTATTATTGCACTTTCAAACTTTGGCATATCCTTTATTTGCGAAGGATTTTTTCTCGGTCACTCACGTGACATTTCTGATTTTGCAGTTTCTGCATTTATAGTCTTTAAATGAGTATTTATGCTAAGAAAAAAAAGAACAAATGACAAATGTGGTCTTTCTTTGCATTTTTTGCATTACTTCACGTATTTAAGCACAATTAAAGAAACAAATTCTTTGACTTTGGTTTATCTTTCACCGGAAATGCCCACATGTTTGTAACAGGCGAAATAAAACGGTATAGACCCATGGTTCTTTTTGAAAATATGCATAGAATCACTTTTTCAGTCGATTTATGCATGTTCGTCCGTCTGATGATGGTAAATTTTAAACAACCACCAATCAGTCTCGTTTGAGCTGTTGATGAATGTGGTTGTGCTGTCGCGTGTTTTTATTATTTTTATCGTAGCAATGTATATATTGCAGGCGAAGTTTGTCAGAGAGCGACAAGTATAAACAGGTCTAGCACACTTTGTGTCTGTGTGACCAAACAAATGCATATGTATACGTTGCCGACCGCTGGTATAGACCCATGGTTCTTTTTGAAAATATGCATAGAATCACTTTCTAAGTCGATTTATGCATGTCCGTCCGTCTGTCTGTTTGTCCATGTTAAATTGTAAACAAAGTACAGGTTGCATTTATGATCCGAATTGGATGAAATTTGGCACAGCTCATTTGTTTGGCCCAAGGACGAACCCTATTGAAATTGGGAAAAATCGGTCCCGATTTAGATATAGCTTCCATATATATATTTAACCGATTTAATGTAAACGGTCCCTATATATCTTCCGATTTGAACGAAATTTGGTATAGTCTAATCATTTAGGTCTAGAAAAATGTCTGCCAAGTTTCGTGAAAATCGGTCCAGATTTAGATATAGCTCCCATATATAGTTTCGTCCGATTTCATGTAAATGGTGCACCAAAATCCCTATATATCTTTCGATTTGCACGCAATTTGGCACAGCGTACTGAATTGAGCCTAGAATGATGTGTGCTAAGTTTCGAGAAAATCGGTCCAGATTTAGATATAGCTCCCATATATAGTTTCGTCCGATTTCATGTAAATGGTGCACCAAAATCCCTATATATCTTTCGATTTGCACGAAATTTGGCATAACGTACTGAACTGAGCCTAGAGTGATGTCTGCCAAGTTTCGTGAAAATCGATTCAGATCTAGATATATATATTTTCGTCCGATTTAATCTAAATAATGTACCAAGTTCTTATGTTGCATAGCATTTTGAATTTAATCCAGAATGATGTGTGCCAAGTTTCGTGAAAATCGGTCAAGACTTAGATATAGCTCCCATATATATTTTCGTCCGATTTAATGTAAATGGTGCACCACATGTATCTTTCGATTTGCACAAAATTTGGCATAACGTACTGAATTGATGCTGGAATGATGTGTGATGAGTTTCGTGAAAAGCGATTCAGGTCTAGATATATATGTATATATTTTTGTCCGATTTAATCTAAATAATGTACCAAGTTCTTATGTTGCATAGCGTTTTTAATTTAATACAGAATAATGTGTGCCAAGTTTAGTGAAAATCGGTTGAGATTTTGATATAGCTCCTTTATATTATAGATTGATTTTAAGTAATTGACGCACCAAGGAACCAATATATGGCTGATAGGAACAAAACGTATTGAAATCAGTATAACCTAAACTGTGACAAGTTTCGTTGAAATCGGTTCATATTTGGATATAGCATCCATATATAAGTAAATTGTGCATCAAATTCCTCATATTTGTTCGATTGACATCAAATTTTGCACATCGTACAAAATTGAGCATAGAATAACATAGTTGGGTTTTCTAGAAGTACAGACCTAGCCCAACGGATGACCTATTGATATTTGTTTGAAGTCGATTTACATACCTTTGTTTCATTGTAACAAACGAATGACATGTTTATGGATAGATCTAGGTCGTTTCACATTTAGATAAATATCACATATTGTATTTCATACAATTTCATGATAATAGTCCTGTTTAATATACCCATAGTGGTGAAGGGTTTTATATAGTCGGCCCCGTCCGACTTTACTACTTTCCTTACTGGTTTAAGTTTGCGATAAATCGATTTCCATAAATTTGTCCCATTGTAAGCAAACGATTTTAAATCTGCCCGAATGAATTTAAATTTAGCATAGGTTGCAGAAAGGCATGTGCATATTCCTTTGATGGAACATATACACGAAATTGTTAGGATACATATGAACAATATACCCAAAGTGGTGAAGGTATCATATAGTCTGCCCAGTCCGACTTTACTACTTTCCTTACTGGTTTCAATATAAAGTTTGGTCTCATTATATACCTACCTTTATTCTGAACCTGGTCAATATTTCCCGATATTTGCACCCTCTTGATCAATTAGAGATCAGCAGCTCCCTGATCTCCTCCGAATCATGTTTTCCCGGAGTGAACATTTACGCCATAAGATTCTAATGTATTGGCGTATTTGAATAGCAAAATATTAATTGATCATAATCAAATGGGTATTTTCATTAGTTGGCCAGATCGCCTTCCCCATTTAAAATGTGTGATGTTCGGCTTATAATAGACTAGAAAATCAAAATAAGGCTTTAGATGCATTTCATCCGCTAAATAAAATTACCAAGCAATATGACTATATATGAGCCGACATATCTGACCTACGGTGTGGTATAGTAATACTAATACTGTGGTATGGTAATACAAAAAATTTATCACACATTGACACCTGTACAAGTCCCACATCCGAACACATACATCAACATAATTGGTAAAATTTATAGGTCAATAACTTCACTTGGATATACTGTCAACTTCTCATAGAATTTAATATTGGTAAGTCTGGGTTCATTTGACCCGTTAAATATTGACCGATTATCATGAAAAGGGTGGTGGTGACGTCGTTGCCCGTGTAAAATTTTGTGATGATCGGGTTATAATTGAGGCCTGCAGAGCGAAAGAAAAAAGGACAAAAATAAAATATTGGTCAAATTGATAAATATTAACCAATTATTACCAAAAGAAATATTGGCCTTCTTTGGCCGGAAACGGACTTACACTCAAAATTGACGATTGGCCCATAAACGAAGGACACACATGTCTAGTTGTAGAGACATGACAGGTATACTAAAACGGGGATCAATGACCAATATTTCGCGGCGTTAGACTCTTGGGGCCACACAAACCTATAATCTCCCTACAAAATAGTTTTGTATGGTATAACAATTATTTTGTGTTAAATATTTTCTTATATTTATTTATTTGCAAAATGCTTTTACTTTAGCTTTTTAACAGACAAAAAAAAAAAAAAACAGTGGCTTTTATATGATAGTGTGTAGAGGCTTCGAGATTATTCATAGATTTATATTCAAAACTATTTTTTTTTTTGCTACTTCAAAAATTTCTAATAACATTTATAATATAAAATATAAAACTGAGCATGCGTGAGAGTGTAGAGATTCAAATAATCTCTAAAACTCATACTAGTACTCAGAATTGAATATAAATATATAGTGTATTCTGAGACTTGAAGTGGATTTTGACGTAGAATATTTTATTCTTTATATATACCTAGAATTAAGTTTCATGTTACTTTAATGTACTTTGTCGAAAAAAATACTGGAAATGTCTTTGAAAAAAAAAAAAATCAAGAACATTTTGAATTTTTGGTTCAAAATGTCTGACTATATATTCGGTATATACATTATATATACAGATTTCTCTTGTTCAGTGACTTCTGCTAAAAATTGATGGGTGAGTTTTCAATCACTCCTGGAAAAGGGGACCGAAAAGACCCCTTTAATGAGTCGGTTGAGGGTTAAAATTGCAGACCAAAATATTCCTCGATATTTTATCAGTAATATTGCCGAGGACACTATATACCTGAAATGCAAGAATTTCAAGAAATCATAATTCGAAAATGATCAAAATTCTTGAAAAGGGGGAATATTGCCCCGCCTTTTCTGGTTACCTCCCGACGTAAACTTTCAAAACGCCGATACACGTGCCTTCTTTTTTTAGCCCCTCTTTCATAATCTGATGGAATTTCCCGGTAATTATCAAAAAATTCAAATTTGTCGCACAGTGTAATTTAAACGGTTCCAGGAGCAGGTCGAAGGTTAACTGAGGCAACTGATTTAACATGACCGGCCAAAGGGGCAACATGAACAGCACCACGAGTCTTGGCAACAAAAGTACCACTGTGAGCAGAGACTACGGCAGGCGCGGCAACAAGAGCTGGTCCAGCAACAACAGGTGGTGCGGCAACTAGAGCAGGGGCAGCAACAACAGCAGGAAGAGACTCGGAAACAACATGTACTGGTCCAGGTCCAACAACAACTTGGGGAGGATTAACCACTGTGACAGCAGCTGGTGGATGAGCACCAAGAACTACAGTACCGGGAAGAGGACAACCAAGGACAACTGGTCTCAAAGGAAGAACTGAGGAGTTGGCACCCAAAGCTAAAGCAATCAAGACTACAGCAATAACGAACTGAAAAATTGCAAAATACCCAAGGCAAAAATATTTTTTTTAATCGCCAAGATAAATATATTAATTTAGTTTTTGCAAAATAGTCAGGCTGAATCCCAGTTTGTTGTTTTTATAAAAAACAACTATTTATTAGTGGGGAATGTATGGCATTGTTTGCCGAGGGGTAAGGCAGGGAAGACTATAGTTTCGGATCACGCCACTGATCCTCATCAGTTCTCTTAGTTTTTTGTTGGGATATTCTCCCCAGAAGCTATTGCTTCTATACAAAAAACCTTTCATACCCAAATGTCTCTTGTAACAAAGCGAAGTACTTATCTGACCAACGACATAAACTGCATGAGAATTTCGCTGGAGCCTCATTTCGAGGTTAACAAGGCATTTATAGACAATACCACACCTTTCCCACTGTTGTGTGTTGTCACATCGCGACAAATGCACACAACGACTTTGTTGGTGTTGCTAGTATACAGCAACAACCCAAACAGTTCAACCGTGCCTGCGTCTACAACTTCAGTAGTGTTGGCGGTTTATTTGGGATACCATTTGTATTTTGTTTTCGCAAAATAGTCAGGCTGAATCCCAGTTTGTTGTTTTTATAAAAAACAACTATACATACATTCCCCACTAATAAATAGTTGTTTTTTATAAAAACAACAAACTGGGATTCAGCCTGACTATTTTGCAAAAACAAAATACAAATGGTATCCCAAATAAACCGCCAACACTAGAGATATATGAATTTAGTAATATTTAGTGAATGATACAAAGCAAACATATGTCGTTTTCTCATGGTGCTGAAGATTTGACTATTTGCTACGTTATAAAGGACGTTTATTATTTGGCATTGATCAATATATAGGCCAATTGTACGTTATACCCTACATTTTATTACAAGCTATTTAGCTATAGATTAAAGATTGAGTCCTTAGGGAAGATGACAGTTTTTGCGAAGCATTTAAGTCATTGACAATTCCATTGGTCGCATTTATCACATTTTTTGCGAATGTATAACTACTTCCCGGAGAATGTAATATCCCTTTGTGTATATAATCCTACGTTTACCTTCATTTCTTTATTATTTAAATTATTTAGCATTGAACTTTCGTTCAGTTCGTAAAGAATGATAATATGATGCAATACATTTTATTATGTCCACCATATATTTGAACGAACGATTCCTAAATAACTGCAATACTTACCTACACCTACCTCAATACAGTCTTTAATAACGTCACATGTAAATCGACCGAGTCATTTCAATTGGGTGTAGTGCCAGCGAACTACTTCTATACTCACAACTTTCAAAAGTCGTTTTATAAATCTTAATCTCTTTACTCCCTCTAACATAAATTAATGACAAGGTTGAATTGGGTATATTTAGAAATCCAATTAATATTTGCAAAATATTAGTTCAGCTTAAATGCGGTATACATTCGTTGTTCTTTTTATACCCTTCACCACACTGTGTTACAGGGTGC